CCCTGCTGGCAACCTTGGTGGTGCAAGGGTTAAATACTCTGAACCTACCAGGTACCCCCATGGAAGATTTGATAATCTGGTCCCTTGAGGATTATAGCCTAGGAAACTCCATAGGGCACGTGTAAAACTCCATAGGGCACATGTACTCTGTCATACAGGGTTGCCAAGAGTTGAAAATTCAGTGATACTCAACAATAAAACAGAAGTTCTTGTGGCCTGTTGTTGTGTACTGCAGAGTTCGAATTGACCCATAACTAACCCTCCAGAGGGTTTTCAGAGGCAGTTAATTGCACGGGAGGAGATTAACCATCCTTGTCCTGTAGAGCAGCTAGTGGCCTCAAACTGCGCGCCTTTGGGATTGCAGCTCAGCTTCTTGCCACTAGGTCATATGGCCTAGTGGTAAGGAATTGTGCTATAATTCCAAAGACACGTGGTTTGAATCCACCAGCTGCTCCAAGGGAGAACGATGGGCAATCAATTCTGGTACAATGTACTGCCTCTGAAAACCTGATGGAGGGTCCAGCTGTGATGTGGTCCCAACTTGACAATACATAACAACAACAACAAAAATATTAATGGGTCACAGAAAAAAAAAACAACCACACCACCTGAATTCACACGGTGTTTCAAAGGTGAAAAAAACATTCATTTAAAAACACTGCCTGTTCTTTGGCTTTATCATTGGGCCCTATAACCACCTGAAAGATGAATCCTAACTGGAATGTAGGCTCTGAAAAGCAGATGGTCATGTATCAAACCCATGATGATTTGGAGAACAAGCTACGCTCTGTCCAGGTTGAAGCCCTCAGAGGTAATGAGCACATGGAATCACTTCTAAGAATTTGTGTTCCTCCTTCTATACAAGGCAACTATTAAGAGCTGGTCCAATTATGACAGTTTGTAATTATAAACACACTTGTAAAGTCCAAATTTAGTCACCTATTAAGAACAACTAAATCTCATACTTTTTTTTTTTTTACTTTAAGTGAGACCAGTATGCCTCAACATGACTCTTTTTCTACCTACATGAGATACGGTCTGCCAGTGTTGGTTATTAAATATTATGAATTTTACTGCTCTAGTGGTGAGGCGAGAGATTTGAATTTTAACCAGCTCCCCGGGTAGGACTACCATACTTATCATACACGTCTTCTTAAGACCTGGGAAAGTAAAAGGTTGGGTGCATTCAAGCAGCTGTTTCACTCTTCAGGATTTCAAACACTGAAAATCTCACTCTTAGTTTTGGAAGTCAATGCATAATCTGTGTCCCTTTTGAACCTTATTTTATTCATGTGTAATTTTATTCTAATAGAGAAATCTTTATGATTTCTTTCCACTTAGCATGTTCTGATATTGCATCACCATTTCCTTTCCTCACCTGTAGCTGGTAGCCTTTTCCCCCCCACTTGGAAAGCTTAAACCTAACTGGTCTAGATGGAAAGGTAAGTCCTATAATTAAACCTTTAATACCTTCCCTTTTGGGAAAGTTTTGTTTTAATGTTCCCCTTCCAGCCCACCTGCTGTGACGTCTGGACTTCCCGCAGGCTCAGCACAGGGGCAGGCAGCCGGACGACCCTGGCAGAGCGACCTGGACAGGGGCATCAGCAGCGCTTTCCACTCTTCTCATTTTATGACCTGCCTTTGATTCATCCACCTCCGTTTCTGTCTCACCACATTGTCCAAGGCCGTCCTACTCACTTTTAAGTTTACCACTCCCGTTACCATTATAGTGAGGTTTCTTTCGTGACATTATGAAAATAGCTACTAAGGCTAAAGCTGCTCCCAGACTAGGAGGGCCGCAAGGGCTAAGCTCCTGGACAAGGCCTGAGAGGAGTGGGGCGATGATGCGGCCCACGGCCGTCACGGACTGCCCCACGCCGATGAGCGTGCCGCTGGCGCGCGCCTTGCCCACAGTCAGCTGCACATCGGTGAGACACGTCCTGCCTAGGGCGGTGGAGAAGGACAAGAGGGTGGAGGAGACAACAACGAGGAGCACGGTGTGGGCTGCGGCGTAGAGCAGCAGCAGCGTGAACGTGAGGAGGCTGGAGTGCAGCAGGATCAGGTAGGAGTTGTGCTTGTACAGTCTTGTGAGGGGCCCCAGGGCGCAGCCGGCCAGGGCCCCTAGGGCGCTGCTGTAACTGATGAGGTAGCCCGTCGTCCTGGGCCTCACCCCAAAGCGCTCTTCAAGGGCCAGCACAAAATTGCTGTGGTACAGCAGGACTGCCATGGCCATGAGCAAGCGCACTAAAAATATGTCCCACATTTCAGAAAACAGCAAGCTCTTCATGTCGCGTAAGGTTGAGGCAACTTCGATCCAGGGACGCCAAATATTCCTCTCCCTTGCGCTGGTCTCGAGGGCTACAGGGGCATCTTGAGCTTGATGTGCCGTCTTTCTTGAAAATGCGTGGTTGCTACGCAGCTGCAGGCCGGTCTTCCTAGTGTTCAGTTTTACTTCACTCCATGGAAATAACCAAACAAGACCTGTAAGTTTGCATACAATCAGTTCAAGTAAATGGAATGGGGAGAATTCAGACACTGTCTCCTAAGGGGATAAGCAATCATTTCTATTAGATTTACTAATTATTTTTATCCTTTATTTCTCAGTCTAGGTTTTCACCATTTCCCCACAGTTGTTTATTCCACCTGGATGAAGGGACACGATTGTTTTTATTCCATCTGGATGATGAGATTCCGACAAAGACTTGCTAGTCACCTTAAAAAATATCTGAATTTACAATATACTCATTATGTGTCCGCAGCTGAATAGTCTGATAGTCTCTTATATCAATTATTTCCTTATATAAATTCTTACCATTCACACTTCTTTCTTTACTTCATGTACTAATTTTCCATCTAGCCACCATCTATACCTATCCATGCATCCAACATTTCAGAGAGCTTTGTAAGTGCTAAATTCAGTAATAAATTCCATGGACATATTAACAAACTAAACAAGAACTATAAAAAGCCTGCCCTCAAGGAACTCACACCTAGAAGATCATTCAGACAAATGTTGTACAAGTCACAATGTAGGTGCTATGCTGGAAGAAGTACAAGACAGTCAGCCTTTGCTTGGGGGTGAGTAGGACAACTTGACAGCTATGACTCTCAGAAAGTGTTTGCATAGCTCCTGGTCCCAGTCAGGTCATCATGTACGTTAGTCACAGCTTGAAAAAACTACACGAGATGTCATTCTCACCAGATCTGAAGGAGGAGAGCTGAGCTCCATCCTGACAACCCCAGCTTGAAAAAACTACACGAGATGTCATTCTCACCAGATCTGAAGGAGGAGAGCTGAGCTCCATCCTGACAACCCTCCCCAGCTCTGCTCTGACTGCTCTTCTCTGCCTCTGATCTTTTATCTCCTGTTACCCAACTGGAGAAGGACATCATACTTGGAAGAGTGGAGGGACAGCACCAGAGATCAAGACTCCAGATGAGATAGATTAGTACAGTAACAGGGTCATTGGGGTTAGGTGTGTTGGAGTCAGTGATACTGGCTCAGGACAGGGCAGACTTCAGAGCTGTTGAAATACGGGTTGCTATGAGTCACAGGTGACTCGATGTTACAGAACAATCACCACCACTCAACTGGAATGATCTCTTGCCAATCTATATGCCTGAAGTGTTTTAAAATGAAATTCAGATTTGTATTCTGGGATATTGCCCTATTAATAGTTAAGTGCTCTGGTGGCTTAGTGGTAAGGATTTATGTTGCCCGTACAAAAGTACCTGGTTTGAATTCACCAGCTGCTCCACAGAAGGATGGGCAATCTCTTCCCATGCATTTTACTGCCTTTGAAAACCCAGTGGACGGTCAGCTATGGGTTGGTTCTGATTCAAAAGTACACAACAACTACAACATTTTTCCTTTGGGGTACCTGAATATAAGTTTAAACTGGATCAGTGGCTGTTCAATTATGCTGCATGTTTTCAGTAATTTCATTTGTGTATGTGATTTCTCCAAAAATTTCATCCTAGAAATTAACTTATGACAAAAAGCACCTAATCACATGAGAAAGGAGATTTATCTTTTTTTTCCCTTTTCTAATCCAAAGAGGGCCCTTGGAAGTTTTGGAGACTCTTGGTAAAAATATGAAAGAACTGTCACTGATGGGACATTATTAAAATAATACTAAAAATTATAATCATGATGATCTCTCTCTTTCTCTCATTGCCTTGGAGGCAGAATCAACTCACAGCTGACAAGTTTTAGAGCCTATAAATGCAAGAGAGGAGATTACCCGTCTTTCTTCCAAGGAGTAGCTGATGGATTAGAACCACCTGCCTTTGAGTTGTCAACAAAACAAACATTATTTACTGGAGAACCACCTACAGTTATCATGTCATCTGAATTTTGCTAACCTCTAATTTATAGATGAGGAAATTGAGGCATAGAATAAACTGCTCAAAGACATACAGTAAAAAGTAGAAAAGCAAGGAGTTGCATGCAAGTCTGTAGGACTCCAGAACGGGAGTTCTTAAATGAGGAGAAGAGACACATTGCAAAAAGAAATGAAAAGGTTTTCTGAGGCAAAATGGCTAGTCAAAGACAGGGTATAGGAAAACAATTACCATCACAGGTGAGAAAAAGTCAAGTCATTATAGAGTCAGAACCAACTCATAGCTGACCCTTAAGCAGGGTTACAGAGGCTATAATTTATAAAGGAGGAGACTGCCAAACTTTTTCTTGTGAAGCAGTTGGTGGGTTCAAACTGAATGCCTCTGGGTTGGCTGCACAAAACCTTGCACACTAGGCTACCAGAGCTCCCTGGTGAGAAAAACATGGTAAAATTGGAAGGGGAAAGCAGCAATACATTGTGCCAAGAGCTCTGGAAGCCTAGCAATGCTTGTGACAAGTTGTCAATATCTGGGCCTTATCTAGTTGTTGCTATGCTGGAACCAACTTGCAAGAAACCCTCCTGTGGGTTTTCAGAGGCAGTAAATCACACAGGAGGAGTCTGCTCGTCCTTTTCCTGTGGAGCAACCGGTGGATTCAAATCACGTGCCTTTGCAATTGCAGCACAACTAGGCCACCCGAGCTCCCTAGGCTCTATCTAGTGGAGGGCCATTCTCCTAATCCTCTGTTAATATAAGTGTGACACGATCAGATAGCTGTGATGTTATTATGGAAATGTCCCGTAACGTACAGTTTGCTATTAAAGTCACCATGCACAGGTATCTCTAGGTAGTGTACGTGGATAAATACTGAGCTATGAAATGAAAGTTTGGCAAGTTTCAGCCTACCCAGTGGTGCCTCAGTATAAAGGCCTGGTGATCTGCAGTAGACCGTTCTGCTCTGAACCATCTGGAGTCAAAACTTTGATTTGGTGGCACTTGAGGAAAAAGCCACTTTGAATGGGGTTAGTGCAACCAAGGAAATTTCTGGCAACTTAAAATTTTAGTTGACATGAAATATAATTGAGTAAGAGTAGCATCATAGTTCATCTATTGCACTGCCCACTTCATGTACTCAACAGCCACTAACAGGAGTTCATAACTGGTACTGGATAACACAGGTCTAAACCATTCAGCTGATTTCAATCTTGTGAAAACTGAGTAGCAAGCAGAAGTTTGCTGCAAATGGCTGGGAAGACACTTATTATTAATATGGACACAGTTAACTGGACGTCCCCTTGTCCATCTTTTTTCTCCCCTTCTTGGTACAGACAAGTTATCTAGAGGAACAGACATATTGTGTGTGTAAACTAACAAGCACAAAATGACAAAGAATTCAATGAGGATGCTGGAGCAGAAACTGGGAAGAACCAGCATCCATGAAGGCACTGTCAGTAGCTTCAGTAGCCTGGATCTCACTTCCAGATTTCTTAAGTGAGAAATACCACTCTATCAGCTAAGTCACTGGGATATTTGGGATATTGCAGCTTTAAATCACTAGGATATTTAGAATATTGCAGCTGACGAGTCCTAACTGTGGAGCTCAGAAGTGAAGCTTCTTTAACGGCTTGAATCCACCAGTTGCTCTGAGGAAGAAAGATGGGCAGTCTCCTCCCATGCAGTTTACATCCTTAGAGACCTGCTGGAGAATCAGCTATGAGACACCCTTGACTCAAGAGGAATGAGGAGAGAAATCCCTCATTGACTCAGATCCAAAAACAAAATTAAATTTGGGCAAAAGAATAAGAGAATTATCCTCTTGTTGATTAAGTCATTTACCCAAGGACCTATCATTTTCAAGAAGATCACAGGAGGATACAACATGCTTTAAACTATTAGGCCTCAAAGTCTTACATTTATTTTTCTTAGCAATTAATAGTGAACACCTGTGAAATGCCTAGCCCTGTAGAAATTACTAGCAGGCAGAACTTAGTAAATTAGAGAAAATGTTTGCCCTTGAGAAGCTAACTTTCTCTGTGTGTGTGTGAGTCTGTGTGTGGGGTTTGTGTGTATTATGGAGTGTGAAGTTGATAACAGAGACTAAGAAAAATGAATTAATAGTCCACAAGTGCTATTGGAGAAAATGGAGCTCTTTCAGACACAATGAGCAGGTAAGAATTCTTTCAGGAGAAAATATTTGAAACTTAAATACTAAGAAGTGAGAGTTAGTAAAGACATTTGGAAAAATTATTCAAGTGCAGGAAAGAGGGAGAACAAAGCCTGGTAGTGGGAATGGCCTGGCACATATGAGGATAGTGAAAAAGTCAAAGATGTGGAGCACAAAGCAAGAGAAGGAGAGGGCAGGACATAGGGTAGAGGTGGGATGTACACTCTGCGAGATATACCTGGATTATAAGCTAAAGTACGATGGGAATTGACTAGGTGTTGGCCTGCAGCAGAGGATGATGGGTGTGATTTTTATTTCTGAAAGAAGTGCTTGTTTACTCTGAGAAAAACAAACAATGGGGGGGGGGGAAGTGAGTGTATTAATCAATTTGAGCACACAAACCAAACCTCTTATAATTAAATATCCACTTACCAGCATTCAGAATGAAGACAGAAAAACAGATGACAGATGTTACATAAAAGCCACCATCCAGTTCAGTGAGATATCCACCAACCATGGGGCCCAGGATGAAGCCCATGCCTGATGCTGTATTAAACTTTCCGATTACTAGGGGCCGTTCTTTCTCTGTAACCAAGTCAGAAAGCAGGGCCCTTGATATTGACAGTGTATGCTTGAAAATACCTGTAAAAGAACCAAAACAAACCACATGTTGTAACTTTTCTCAGGTCAAAAGTATTACCTGGATACTCTATATTGAACTGCAATTCCTACGGAATTCTCATCTTCATCTGCTTCCAACCTCTAAGTCCTGCTAACTCTGCTCTGGTTAGCAGGCCTCTTACCTCTGTAGATTCTGTAGCACTACCTTTGTTCTTTCTGGTGACCACCTCCCCCTAGCTGGGAGCCTCCCTTCTTCATACCATCCTCCCAGCTAGTCCAGTGGTCTCTGGCAAACAACTGTAACTCGTTAATATGGGGTTCCCAAATGTGTATTTTCTGTAACAATTCATTCTTCACACATTCATATATAATCAACTGAAAACTCATACATACTTTACTGCAAATCTATACTATGTCTAGTTCTGATCTTGACCCTGAGGATATAGCAAAGACTAGATAGCAAAACAAAATAGTAAGAGAGAGAAATAATCTTGCTCTAGATTTTGCTGTTGCTAGATACCAAGCCAGTTCTGCCTCACAGTGATAACACATTTAATAGAATGAAACACTATCTAAACATGCACTTCTTCACAATCGTTGATATGTTTCAGCCTGCTGTAGACATTCTGCAATTTGTCTTACTAAGGGTTAAGCAGAATCGGCATCTTAGATGAGGGACAAAGTATCATGCAGAATAGAAGAACTATTTTTAATTCAAATGTGACAAAAGGGCTGGTAAACAGCAGCAGCAAAGATCCAGAAGTGACATAGTCACCTAACCCATATGACCTAATTTCCTATTATCAACAACAAGCTTATAAATTTTGTTATACTATAATTCTTAGGTCTAACATACTTTGGATTTGGACATGTTGTAAGGAGGGACCAGTCATGCTTGGGAGGGTGGAGGGACAGCACAGGAGAGGAAGGCCCCCTATGAGGTGGATTGATTCAGTGACTGGGTTAATTGGGATGGGTGCGTCAGAGACAGTGTGACTGGCACAGGACAGTGTAGAGTTTAGGGCTGTTGTACATAGGGTCGCTATGAGTCGCAAGCGACTCAACAGCACATAACAAACAAAAACAACAAACAATAATTCTGACAGAACTTTTAATAGCAGATTAAAGGTGTACAGTATATTTATGTATGTGTGTGTATATATATATACCATTGTTCAGAACTGATGTGTACATACCTATATGCTGAAGAGACACTCTCCAATACACTGAGAAAGTCTTGTAACACAATTGATGACTTTAGTAAGGGTGATGCATCCCACTCTAATCCTATGTTATAAGAATCAGTTTTTATGTTACTGGAGATAAGAGGAGCAAGAGGCAAAGATGCAGGAATCTCAATACAACCAAGAAAGAAGAGTCATGAGTGGAGAAGATCCTTTGTACCAAGAGTCCTTGTGCCCTGTGCTGAGAATTTCCTAGACTCAGGGGAAAGAAAAATTAATGCCAAGACACATGGATATTTCCAAAGAAAGCTGATGTCACAGATATTTAAAGGAGATGAAGACCTTCCTCCAGAGCTAACAGAGAAAAAATCTTCCTCCAAAGTTGACACCCTCCCAGTCTCCTAAACTATGAGACTAGATTTTTGTTTGCATTTGCCAGTTAGACCATGACTTTAGTTAATAATACAAGCAGCTTAACTGGATGTGTACAGAGGTATGGTATTATGGGCCTGTTAAACAAGGCAGCTATGTCTTACAAGTAAAATGGGGTGTGGAGGGAACCCAAAAGAAAACAAACAAAAACTTTCATAGCCCTAATCATCTAAAACAATAAGAAGAGAATAAAGAGGCTCTACAAGTATCCACCTGCCAAATCTGCCCATTATTTACGGACTACCTGATCTCAAGAGTTAGATTCAGGTCAAAACCTGCTTCCCAATGAAACTCACTGCTGTTGAGTTGACTCTAACTTATGGTGAACATCCATCAGATTTCCAAGTCTATAAGTCATAATGGAAGGAGATTGCCTCATCTTTCTACCATGGAGGGTCTGGTGAATTCAAACTACCAACTTTTTGGATAGTAGTTAAATTTTTAAACTAATAGATCATCAGGGCTCTTCCAAAGGATGCACAAAAGTAAAAGCTATTTCAAAAATTTCAGACAAACACAAGAGAAGGCTGTTGCTGTTGTTAAGTGCCGTCGAGTCGTAGATGACTCATAGCGACCCTATGAATGAAAGACCTGAGCACTGTTCATAGAGTTTCCAGAGGCAAGTCATTTTGGAAGTAGATGCCACTCCTGCTTCCAAGTTTCTTTTAATTGGGAAGCTGTCCAAGCCAAACACTGTCCACCATGGGTAATCATTATTGCATTTGCCACATCGTTTTCACAATATTTAGCATCACAACACCACAAGTTACCTTTGTACAACAATGCACAGACCAGGGCTATACCCCTTAGAAGAATGTTTGACAAAAACAATTTAAACCAAGCCTGAGGGCTACAGATTAAAATCACCCACCTTGGGCTTGCTAGCATAACTTTCTGTCCACTAGAAATGGAAAACTAACCCATGAGGCATCACCTTATAATCCTAGCATCCCATTAAGCAGCAATTGCCTTTTCAAATGTTGAAAGAAACTAAACCAACAAGTCTAAATTTGATGTCATGAGGCCTAAATCGCAAAATGATAAGCTCACTGCCATGGATTGAACGTTTCCTCAAAACACAAGTATTGTAAATCCTGACCACTACACCAGCAGTTATGATCCCATAGGAGCACAGGTTTTCTTTGTTATGGTAATGAGGCAGGAGTAGCGTAGTGTATATTTTTAATAGATCTCTTTTTAAGTACGTTATTGTTGTTCTGTGCCACTGAGTCAGAAATGACCCATAACTGATCCTCTTATGGGTTTTCAGAGGCATTAAATCATATAGGAGGAGACTGCCCATCCTCCTACAAAGCAGCTATTGGATTTGAACTGCATGCCTTTGGAATTGCAGTGCAGATTCTTACCACTAGGCCATCGGGGCTCCCATTTTTTAAGTATGAAAAAGATTAAATAAGCATATAGAGGACAGGTGGGGTAAAATAAATGACAGTACACATAGAGACCTCCAAAAGGCAAGAACTTCTAAGATAAAGACTACTGTCCAGAGCTTATAGGAAAAGAAAGTCTATCTTTAGAGCGAGTGCCTTAAGTTTGGGCATCTAACCTCCTAAACAGTGAGAGAATACATTTTGTTAAAATTATCCATGTATGATATTTCTATTAGAGCAGCACCAGAGAGCTAAGACAGAAAGAGGGACCAGTCATCATAGTGTTGGCCATATGCATTTAACAGATTCTTACTGACTGAATGTAGAGACAGAAAAGGAGACAAGTCTTAATGCAGTAATAAAATGGAGCACACTGATAGGATGAAAGGGGCTCTGTCACATGATAGGTATGTAGCTCTGGACAAGGTGGCATAGCACATGGCAGATGCTAAGTGCTCAGTAGACAATAGCTGCTATTGTTAGAATTTGAACCCAGCTTACTTTACAGCAGTTGTAAAATATTAAAGAGACAATGACAAGCAGAGACAGGTTCTAGAAGCACAGGTGCAGTACAGCAGGTGCACTGAGTCAGCTCTGATTCACACAGCCTTATGAGCAACAACAGGAAGTGCTGTTAGGTCCTGCTTTAAGATTACAATCACACTGTTGTCCTTTGCGGCAACTATGATGCCACTCCATCTCACGGAGGGTATCCCTCACCCTCACTGGTCCTTTACTTCATTAACACGGTCTCTTCGTCTAGTAATTAAATCCTCCTGGCCACATGCCCAAAGCAAGTGAGTTAGAAAATGTTCTTCTGTTTTGATCCACAGATTTTCAATGGCTAATTTTTGGGAACAGATCACCAGATTTTTCTTCCTGGTCTGAGTCTGGAAGCTCTACTGAAGTATGAGTGACTTTGCTGAGATTTGAGATGCTGTGGGCATAACTTCCAGCATTATGCAACAGAGGTCAAGTCAACAGAGTATGATAATGTTACAGACAGGTATCATTCCCTCTCTCTTCTCTCCTTTCTCCTCTCTCCCCTCTCCTCTCTCTCTTCTCTCTTCTCCCCTCTTCCCTCTCTCTGTCTCTTTCTCTCATATATTTTGCAGGAGAAGGATAGGTCAATTCTGACTCTAGGTGCATAACAACAATGCCAAATGGATTATAATCCCGTTTGAGAATGAGCTTTCAGTTATGTTAATGGGGTAGAGTTTGTGCAAATTGTTTTGAATCAATCTCTTACAAAAGCTAAAATGAATGAACAGAGGCTGAGGAGAGAAATGTCAAGCCACATGAAGATCTCTCAAGAGTACAAGTTCACAAGAAACCAGAATCTTCCACCAGAGCAAACACGGAGAGAAAGCCTTCCCCAAGTGTCACCCTGAATTCAGACGTCTACCCAGAATACGTGATTGTGCTTATGCAAAATTAATACTTGGACCAGGAGGCAGTGGTCAGAACAGAGCAAGGAAACACTGCATGGTTCAAAATTGGGAAGGGTGTGAATCAAGGATGTGTCCTATCTCCATATCTTTTCAATCTATATACGGAACAGTTTACCCAGGAGGCTGGGCTCTATGAGGAGAAGTGTGACATCAGGATTGGAGGTAGACTCATTAACAATCTGCATTATGCAGATGACACAAACCTGCTTGCTGAAACTGAGGAGGACCTGAAGCTCTTACTGAAGAAGGTCAAGGACTGTAGCCTTCAATATGGATTGAAGTTCAACATCAAGAAAACAAAGATTCTCACCACTGGGCCAATTGGTAGCATCATGATAGATAATGAAGAAATTGAGATTGTTGACAGCTTTAGTTTGCTTGGCTCCATAATCAACACTCTTGGTACCAGCAGCCAGGAAATTAAAAGTCTAATTGCATTGGGAAAGTCTGCTGTCAGTCTGGAGACTAAGGTGCAACTCACACAGGTCATGGTCTTTGCAATTACTTGCTATGCATCAATGACCTGGACAATGACTAGGGATAAGAGAAGAAGATAAATGTCTTTGAGCTGTGGTGCTGGAGAAGAGTATTGAATATACCATGGACTGTTAGGGAGAACAAGTTCATCCTGGAGAGGGTGAAGCCAGGCTGCTCCTTGGAGTCAAGGATTCTGAAGCTTTGCTGACATACTCTGGACATGTTGCAAGGTGGGATTGGTCCTTGGAGAGGGATATCATGTTTGGGAAAATGGAGAGACAGTGCAGGAAAGGAAGACCTTTAATGAGATGGATTGATTCAGTCACTGAGGCAATGGGGATAGGCATGTCGGAGACAATAAGATTGGCAGAGGATAGAGGAGGGTTTAGGGCTGTTGTACATAAGGTTGCTATGAGATGCAGGCAACTCGACAGCACATAACAACAACAACAATAACAATTCTTCTAAACTGTGAAAAATAAATTTTGGGTTTTTTTAAGCTACACAGTTGTGATATTTCTGTTATAGTAGCACCAGATAACTAAGTACCTACACACACACCTGGCTCTTCACAGAACAATTTCTGATTGAGCACACACACACACACACACACACACACACTGGGGCCAGAACTCACCCACAGGGACTCTAGCCAGGGCAAACAGGAACACATTGGTGGCTGCTCCCAGAATGAGATAACCCAGAGCACTGAAGAGAATGCACACCAGCAAGGAAGATCGTCTTCCAACCATGTCACTCCAGCAGCCCTGAGGAAAGAAAGCAAAAGAGAAAGCTCTTTGAATCACTGTAAAGGAGCAAACACCTCTCATATACACATAAAATGTGACCTAGTAGGAAACACCAGGGGCTTTAGTCTAAGAGTCTTTAGTACTTGGCTTTGTCTTGCCATTTGCCAGGATAATTTATTTCCTCCAAAATCCCTACAAGATAAAATATAATGTATTTCATTGGTCAAAAGAAGCAGCTATCTGGCAGCTAAAGGTGGTGGGAAAGATGTTGAACTGTAATCTATGAAGTCTCATTTTTATCTTTATTCTTACTACCTTACGTGAGTAAACCCTTCACTGACGATGCTCATTTTTAGCAATTTAGTAAAATGTTGGAAAAACAAAAATAAAATAAAAAAAAATCCCATATTGCCTACATCAATTTTTAGCAAAATGATTCATATATCTATTTTAAAACTTGCTATTTTCACTTAACAGAACCTTCAACATTATTTCATGCCATTAAAAATTTGCCTTTGATAGAATTTTTAATCACATCTAATATTACAATATGTTGTTGTCGTTATGTGCAGTCGAGTCACCTGTGACTCATAGCGACCCTAGCCCTAGCGGAGTGGACTTGAGGGGGAAGGATTGCATAACAATGAAAGAGTTTTTCTCTTCAAGGAGAAGAGTGAATTGTGTGTGTGGCGGGGATAGGTAGGGAGAAAAGTGCAACAATGAATGACTAGAAACCCTAAGTCTCTGTAAACTTTCATGAAAATTATTATTTTTTAAAAAAAGCCCTAAACTCTATCCTGTGCCAACCTCACTGTCTCTGACACACCAACCATTGAATTGATCCATCTCATTGAGGGTCTTCCTCTCTTGTGTTGTCTCTCCACCCTCCCAAACATGATGTCCCTCTCCAAGGACTGGTCCCTCCTTACAACATTTTCAGAGATATTAGTATCTATTTAAAAACCAATTTGTGGGTAGAATTTTTGTTTTTCCCCAATTTGTCAAAATTATAATTAATGTTTCAATAAGAAATAAAAATTTTCATAGCAAAATCTTGGCAAACAACCTTGAAAATTCCCTCAAGTTAAATTCCCTAAATTGGAAATTCACGGGTATATACATTTTAAAGCTTCTTGGTACTTGCCGTGTGTTGCCCAGTCGATTGTGACTCTGGTCAACCCTTCTGGCCATGTGGAACTACCCATGGGTTTTCCAAGGTGATAATCTTACCTGAAGCAGAATGCCAGGCTCTTTCTCCCAGAGAACAACTGACGGATAGGTTTAAACTACCAATCTATTTGTTACCAGTGGAGTATTTATTCATTACAACCCCCGCCTCCTTTATTGACTTATGCCAGTAAATTACACTCTAGGAAGATCTACATTCCCACCAACAGTGTTAAGACTCTGCATTTCCCTTTTACTTGCTAATATTGCATATCATCAGTTGGAAAAAAAATTCTACAATTTTTTAAATTGCATTTTTTTATATTAATCTCTCTCCTAATTCATGGTAAGAAGATTTCCCCCCAGCTTAAACTAGCTGTGTCCACCTGTTTCTGTGTCTTTGAGCTTGAAAGTGATGCCCTGATGCCCAGAGAGAAAGAATTGTAGGCAAAAGGGGAAAGGAAGCAAATAGAAGGCTGTGAGAAGCAAAGTAGGGTCAGAGAAAAGCAGTAAGATGTCACATAGAGTCCTAATGTGGCCTATCTCACTGCATAAAGGGCATCAAGATGAGCATAACTCCAGAGCTACCCTTATAGTTTCTGACTCAATATTCATTCTTACTTACATACAAGACTCAAATAGCCCATGGCAATATACCTAGCTCAAATACAAGAGTCTCTAGCAGGATGGAAATTCTGATATATAAAGTTGAGTAAGGCTTCCGAGGAAAAAAAGTATTTAAAGGCAGAGGAGAGTTCTGACAAACAGCTTTCTGCTCTCCATCCTTCCCATTTTTCTGCTGAGAACATCCAAACATCGCTGGAGGATGAGGACTCACCAGCTAAAGACAGATGAGTTAAATGTCAATAGGAGCTTGAGTCTCTAGAGACACTGGAGATACGTGGCCAGCTAACCTGCAACTTTCTGGACTTTGTCAAGATGCCAGGTGTCCTGTTAGACATAGAGGGGAGCAAGACTGACTGGGGGACCTAATCCTTTGAGAGTATTTCCATAATGACCCATAAATATTGAGGTCCTGGGTGCGATTTTGTCAGGAAAGAAAGGGCCCAATTTCCCAAAAATAAAAATTGTAAATAACAATGGAGCATTGTCTAAGAAGGGTTGAGAGAGGACTCCGGGTTCCTGAGCAATGCCGGTGTCCATTAGGTCTGGCTGGGAGGTGGTTCAGACTGCTTCCTGCTTCCCGCATTCTGCAATCGTCCTCCACCCTCTCCAAATAACTACATAATCTGAGGCTGTCTCTCTTCTTCAGCAAAAGCCAGCTACACCTGTTATGCCATTTACTCATTTTTCTCGGCAATGTTTATCTTTTTCATAAGGATCTAAAAGATTTCTTTACACACTGCCAGGGAGTCAATTCTGACTTCGCAATCTCATAGGAAAGAGTGGAACTTCTTCATAGGTTCTCAAGGGTGTAAACGGTTAAGGAAATAGATTGCTCCATTTTCCTCCAGAGAAATGGTTTATGAATAGACACGGACTTTTCAAAATGCCACCCCATGCTAAATCTGCTGTGTCACTAGGGCTCCTTACATAAGGATGTACACTTCCTTTACAAAACATTTTGTAGGTAAGTCTTCTAACATGCTTTCTATAATTCTTTTACAAATGTTATCAACATTTTCCTCCCTCATGTCATTCCAAATAATGCTATTACCATTTTTCACCCTAACTTTCATTTCAATGGGTTGCAGAATATTCTATGTCTTTATTATCTGGGTAATGAGGAGTCACTGGCTTCCTTGTGTTCACAGGACAGTAATATAGCCTAGTAGTTATGGGCTGTCTCAGTCTGACTTAGCTTAACACTGATCCCTATTATTTCCTACACCATGACCTCAGACATATTACTAAACTTCTCAGCTTCTCTATGCCTCAGTTTCTCTCCATGAGAAAATAAGAATAATAGTATACCTCAGTATTTTCCCTCCAACACATTCACTATGTGCTTTCAAAGGAAAAATCATTGAAAACTTAAAAGCATTTGCTGAGGCTGGTTATTATAAGAATTGAATGAAATAAGTACTTAGATTGGGTCATAATACATAGTTAAGTAGTTACTATATGCTTGGCATTTTTATTATTATACATATTACAGCAATAGCCATTTGTGACATAGCCTATCATTTCCTCTTAAATTGTGTTCTTAAAATTAATGTTTTTATAAAACTTGTAGTTAAAATATGCATTTTATTATATTAGTTTTCAAAAGGAAATTTAATTAGGTAGTTCTCTATCTTATGGCTTTCTAAAGGGAGAGTCTCATTAAGCTATACTTATAAAAGACATATGTTTCATAAACAATAAAATAAAGAATTCACTTGAAAGAGAAGGTGGAGCCTTATTTAATGCATATAAAAGAATAATCTGCATTCATGAACTACTATGTGGCAGATGATTTAGTAAGTGCTAGTGACAAAAACAAATAAAACCTGGGTGCCAATAAAGCCTATATTGTCAAAGAGGTATGGCGTTTATAATTAAAAATTACTCTCCTAATCACTGAATTTCACTTTGCAATATGGATGGCTGGGAAAATGTGAATAGGGTGTGTTAGCCTATCAATAAGGGGACTGGCGAGTCTCCTCACTCCACAAGAGGATTAGCTAATCTCACTAACCCATTAGAGGACTGGCTAATCTCAATCAATCCATGAGGGAATTGGTTAGGCTCGTCAATAAATTGAGTGGGTCCAGCAGCAGAACTGGAAGACCTTCCCCACCAGCAACGAAGCAGGAGAATGTAGCACGTCTGTATGACTCAGACATTTTTAAGCCAGCTAGATCTGTGGTAGCAGCAGCTATGGGAAAAGCAGAGAACCAGACTGCTAATGTGAGATGGAGCTGACTGCTATCCCCCACTGACAGAACCAGGACTAAACCAAAAGTCTTTCTTTATGTTTGTTGGACAACTTGAGGGAGGGGAATCTGAGGTGGAGAGAGCCAATATTGGCAGCACTGAGAACGTTGTAACGCTGGCCTACTAAAACTGTGAGGCTCAAGGCTGAGATGTCATGAGTACATTTCAGAAGCTGTCCTGACTATATTCTGATACAAACCTGCGTTACAACCTTTTGACTTCCCCAATATGGTTCTGTGTGGCCTGTGAGCTATCATATCAGATTTTGGGCCTAGTAAAGCAGTAAGATTGGTGATGGGATGAGTAGAAAGAGGTACAGAAAAAAAAAAAGAGGTACAGGAGCGTGAGGGACATGTCTGACCTGATGGGAACTGGTTTTGTATTGTTCATGCTGTTGACGGGGATAGTTCTCCTTTGTGAAGTTGGTAAAGGTCAGATATGGTCATCTACACATGGCCCTTGCGATTTTTATAAAGGTCAGAGTCCAGTAGGAATATATTGTGACTTACACAAATTTATATATGTGAGTATGTGAGTATCCCTCTCCTTCTGTTAAACTCCTTAATATACTGGGAAGGTGGAGAGAGAGCACAAGAAAGGAAGACCTTCAATGAGATGGATTGATTCAGTGACTGGGGTAATGGGGGTAGGTGTGTCAGAGACAACAAGGTTTGCACAGGATAGAGCAAGGTTTAGGGCTCTTGTACATAGGGTTGCTATGAGTCGCAGGTGACTCAAAAGCACATAACAACAATAGCAACAACAACAACAACGTGTATACAGACACACATACATACATACACATATAATTATATACATATATTAGGTAGCAAGTTCCCAAATAATGCAGAAAAGGCATTTACAATGAGGATGTCATGCTTAGGAGGGTGGAGGGACAGCACAGGAGGGAAGACCCTTTATTAGGTGGATTAATTCAGTGACTCGGGTAATTGGGGTGGGTGTGTCAGAGA